GAAGGTAGAGGGGTGCACAAGTGGAGTGAGAGCACAAATAAGCAAGGGAAGGCTTCTCAGTGGAGGTGACATGGGATGAGTTGGGTTTTAATACATGACGAGGAGTACCCTGAGAAGGACTGAAAAGCTACTGAAGTGATTCATGTTGAGAACATGGCGGTCTTCTCAGGTGGCTGGAGCTTTTGAAGTACATGCTGAGGAGCATGGCAGGTGAGGTGGAGACACGGAAGAGCTTATAGTTACCGCCTGTTTACCGGGCATTGTTGGGGAGGCCTATGCTAATTCCCTGGAGCTGCCATAACGAAATACCATAAACTGTGTGACTTAATGACTTAAGAGCACAGACGTGTCCTCTTACACTTCAGGCAGCCAAAAGTCCAAAGTTGGGGTGTTAGTAGGGCCACGCTCCCTCTGAAGTCTTTAGGAAAGGCCTTTTCTCACCTCTGCTAGCTTCTGCTGGTGCCGGGTGTTCCTTGGCTTGCAGCCTCATTACTCCACTCTCTGACTCCCTCTTCAAATGGCTGCTTCTGTGTCCCTCTGTATGTCTCTTTTTAGGGCATTTCTCATTAGATGTATGTCTGTAAAATAGGAGAGTCTCATTTTCAGATCCTTAGTCACATCTACAAAAATCCTTTTCCAAATAAGGTCAAATTTACAGATTCTGGAGATCAGGATGTAGGGATGTCTTTTGGGGAGCACCACCACTCAACTGCTACAGGGCCTCACATGCATTATCCAATTTAATCCTCAGAACTCTGAGGAGCAGATAATGCCATTATTCCCCCTTTTCAGAAGAGAACACTCCTTCACAGGAGTTAAAAGTAGACTTCATAAAAGCAGGGCCTCTACCGTCTTCTGCAGCACTGTCTGTCTAGTGTGTAGAATGATCTCTGACACAGCTGGCACTCAGTTAATAAATAAACACCTTGCTCTATGCTTTATGAGGAGCATAGAACAGGCTAACAGCCCAGGCCATACTTCACAGACTTAAACTCTTGAGTATATTACCCCTTAGCTGTGTGACCTTGAGAAAAGCACATAACTTCTCTGTGCCTCAGTGTCTTCATGCTAAGAAAAGAAGGTACAACCGTACTTACTTCATGGGCCTCTGTGAGTTTCACAAGATAAGTCCTAGTATAGTGCCAAGGACAGTGCCTGGCATATAATCATTGCTTAGTAAATGGCGGTGGGAAGTGTCCCATTTGCTTCGAGAGAGAGGAAGCAGACAGGTGAGGTTAATCAGAGTGCACTGGGAGAAGTGTCTCCAAGAGCTCTGAGCAGACAGGACAGTGGCTAGTACTGTCTGAGGGCTTTGGGGAAGACTTCAGGGAAGAGGGAACACTTGAGCTGGGTCTAGGATGAGCATGGACTTGGTGGGTTGGGAGGTGGGAACTGACATTCTGAGCATCAGGATGGGTATCTGCAAGAGTGTGGGGGTGGGGAAAGCTCCGGAAGGCCAAAATAAGAAATTGAGGTTGAAGCAGGCAGGCCCTGTCTGCTGGGTGAAGGAGTTAAGATTTGGTGCTGTAGGTGTGACTGCTTGTCCTTCAGGGCAGCTGCATGACCTTGTTGGCTTGTTGGAAAGTCTAGAATGACTGGATGCCAAGAGGCTGCAGGCTGGGAGCAGGGACGAGACCGCTGTATCCGGGGGTAGGGGGATATTGGACAGGGACTTCATGAAGACATCAGGGAACAATAATAAGCTATGCCATAGGTCGAAACTACTAGAACTGCTGGCTAGCTGCATACTGGCTCTGGGGGAGCAGGGGAGACTAGATGGCTACAGGAGGCAGGACCCTAAGGGGTGGACAATGCTGCTCTCCACTGTGACAGGTGGAAGATGCTGGAGAGGTTGTGGATATGAGGTGCCCATGAGACATGTTGGAGCCTTGTCTGGAGCTATCTTCTGCCAACTGTGGGACCTCAGGCATGCCACTAAATCTCTCAGAGCTTTGGTTTCCCCATCAGAAGAACTGGGGCACTAATTGTACTTACTTTAGATTGTGGTGACAGTATCCAGTAAGTTCCTGGTAACTCTTAGCATCCTGTATTGTCCCATGGAGGCATGGAGCATGGGAGGTGGCCGTCTCAGCACACCTTTGCCACAGTTGGTGACTCTTTCCTCTGGTGTAAGTTCTTCCTCTATCCTCTCTTGGACCTCAAAAGCTTTAAGAGAGATATTTGGGATGTGTTCGCAGATACTAATCCAACCTGATTCTTTTCGAGGCAAAGGTGCTTTTGTTTGAGGATGTGTGTAGGGTTGGTGGTTGATGGGTTTGACTGAGGGATGGACAAGAGCAGAAGGTGAAGTGCAGATACTCCAGGGCTCTTTTCCACCTGAACACATGTGGTTGAACCCGGTTGTATGTTAGTATGCCTGTGTATGCCTGGGAGAGGGCATGGTCTTAATTCAATTCAGCACCGTAGTCCAGGAGATGGTCCTGGGCCCCACTCTGTGTGTCACCATGCCAGGTCCAGAGAAAAGGATGTGACTTGTTCATTGCCCAAGGCATTAGCAGCAGAAGGAAGGCAGGGAAGGGTGAGGCGGTAATGACGGCACGGCATACTCTGAAGGGTCGGAAGCAGCTCCAGCTCCAGAGAGGGGAAGGGGTGCTCAGGGCTGGGCCCAAGGCTGAGAAGATGTGTTCCTTAATGAGGAAGGACACATAGGAGTTCCAGATTGGGACCAAAGCCCAGAGAAGCAGAGAAGCAGGATCTCTTAGCAGGCTGAGGATGACAGGACGGAAGGGTGAGCCAGGGAGTGGTGGCCTGTGAAGCTGAAGGGTGACCGAGGAGGGCCAGGCTGAGTGAACCGGTACCCAGAAAGCTGCAGGATGGATGCTGTTGGAAGCTCCTCTCCTGGGCAGGCCCACGATGATATTGGCCTCCAGCGCCCATTAGACCACTCTTGTTTCCCTCCCAACCTCACCTCTGTACTCTCTTCTCCTTGACCCTCTATTACAGGCAGGCTTCTCCTTCCTGGCCCTCTAGACCTCCATTTTAGGGTCTTTGAGAAAGCCTGGAACGTTCTGGCCTGGGGTCCCCATTTGTGGTTCCTTCTTCTTCCCTGACCAATCTATTGAAGTGTTCTTCCTACACTTTGTTCCAGAGCCTGTGCGGTTCTCATTTTGTAATTATTTCCTTGGTTATTTGCTCATTCAATGTTTGCCTTTCTTCCTTCTGTAAGTTCCTGGAGGCAATGACTGTATCACAGTAGGCCCTTTAATAAATATGTGTGGAGTAATGAATGGATAAATGAGTGAGTGAGTACATGAACAAGGAGACAGGGAACAGAGGATGTTTTAGTGTGGTGAGGATCACATCTCTAAAGAAGCATTCAAACCTAGCACTGGAGAACTAACGAGCTGTTTATTGCTAGGCCCAGGTTGTTAAATTCAAGAGGTGAAACCAAGGGCTTTGGAACATCTCTGAGGAATGAGGTTATATAAACCAAGTCAATAAATATTGATGTGCAGTCAGGCTTTCATGTTCAGAGGTGCTTTGTGGAGAAGTGGGAGGTTCTCTTTCCAGCCCTCTGAGGCTCATTCTCTGCATCGGGGAGCCTTGCTGCAGGGATCAAATGTGTGAGACCTTCGGATTCAACAAACCCTTCAGAAAGAGAAAGGCAGCACAGTGCAATCTGGATCTGCGGGATGGCCCGCTGAGATCTCCCTGCAGGAAGTCCACTCTGGAAACAACTCAGAAAGCTCCAGCTCTCCACTCCATCCCAACAGCTGATGCTGACTCAGACATGGAGAATCCAGACCCAGCTCAAGTGTCGACTTGGCTAAATCCATAGCCCCTGTGCTGATGGCCCAATTATGGTGTTTCCTATTGTGTTGCAAGTGCCTACATCCATCTGTTCACCTTTCCCACCCTGTAGATGTGATGTCTCAATGCCATGCTTGATTCACCATTGTCTGCTGTGTGACCTCCCTGGGCTCTTCAGGAATGACAGACCCTGAGTTGCAAAAGTTGCCAAAATTCAAACCAAGGAGGCAAACTTTCCTTCAGCTAAAACAGCATCCATTCACCTTAGTTCTGGGGTTATGGACCATGTTGGGTAGGCTGGCTTGGGCAGAATCCCACAGGGTAGGCTCCACCCTCCACTCGCCCTTGGACCCTTCATTCTGACGGTCATAGAGGGTACTCTATTTACATAGAGCATTCCTCTTGACCCTGCCTGACTCAGGCATGACCTTGGGGCTTCAAAATATGCTCAGATCTGGTCTCCACCCCCAGAGATTCTGATGTGATTGGTCTGGGATGGTTTCAGTGTGGTTTAAATGCTGCTCGGATAAGTCTAATAATGAGCAGCCAACTTGAAAACCACTTAGATGTACTTGCCCTGGAGGAGTGCTTCTCTTCCCTAGTTGTGTATTATAATCACCAGAGAGTGTGTAAAACCATCTGTGTCCTGGATCCATCCACCCTTGACCCATTAAATGAGAACCCATGGGGTGGTAGCAACCTGGGCATCAGCATTGTAAGGCTCTTCAGATCCTTCCGATGTGAAGCAGGGATTGAAGCCACTACACCCAAAGGGGACTGTGAGTGTTGCTAACAGAGAAACCTGAGATCTGGTGATTTATGAAGAAATAGAGGTTTATTATCTCATAGTCCACAGTCAAAGGCCTGGCATCAGGCTGGCTTACAACATGGCCAGTGTAAGCACGTCACTTCCATGGCAGGCTCATGCAGAGAGAGATAAGAAGCTTGTAGTCTCTCTTTTAGCAACCTACTCTTACAAGAACCCTTACCAGTTCTCTGCTCATGAGATGTAAAATTCATAGGATCTCATGAAAAATCATTACTCACCAAAGTGTTGCCTCCATGAACCAATCACCACCCACAAGGCCTAACTACATCAAAACATGAAACTTTGAAGGCCAAACCATAACACACACCATGTTGCCTGCCAGCTGTAGGGTTTGGAGGCTGTGCATAGACTGAAGGTGGGCAAACCGAGTCTGGATGACACTCCGTTTTATTTCCTCCAGGTCACCATCCTTGTCAGCCTGGCCCTCGCTTTCCTTGCCTGCATTGTGTTCCTGGTGGTTTATAAAGCCTTCACCTATGACCACAGCTGCCCAGAGGGATTTGTCTATAAGGTAAGGGGCTTCTGGCAGGTGGGTAGCCATAGGTAACTGTCACCTTCATTTAGGGGTTTTATCAATGTGTTCTCATTGATATCCAAATCCTGGGTTTGGCATCCTCCCACAGTCTGTTTAAAATGTGGTATATCTCGCAAAGAGTTTTTGGTGTTTGTGAAAGACTCGGTCTCAAGTAGGCACCTCTCCTGAGATGGTGCTTGCTGGGGTCAGGAGGTGGTCCAATTTTGGACTTCGTGTTAGCATGAGGGAAGCTCACTACCCCTTGATATTGACTGTTCCATCTCAGAAACCTCTGCCTGTCATAGGTCTTCCTGGCCCAATGGCTGTTTCTTTACCCCAGTAGGGGCCCTGCAGAAGAGTGAAGAGAGCTGGTATTTCTAAGGTTGTCTCCTCTAGACTTGCAACTGTGTCCCTTTCCCCTGACCCTCACTCTGCTTGCTCTCTTCCCTTAAAGAGCTGAGCCAGCTGCATGACCTCTGAGTTCAGTCTTCTTGCCTGCAAAATGGGGGCTGATAACACCTGCCCACAGGACTTTGCTGAGGCCTTTAGGAGAAAATTTAAGTAATATCAACTAGCAAAGGGCCTACTGGATAATGAGCTACCAAAAAATGTTAGTTGCAATAAAAACAGAATCTGTTTTAGAGAAAAAAGAAATGATACCATTAATATTTACAATTACCACTGACTGTGTACCTGTTTTATGTCAGGCCCTTTCCTAGATATTTCCATAAATATTATCTCAACTGGTTTATACAACTGTTTTTTAAAAAAGAGGCTGATTTGTTCCTATTATATATATGAGGAAATAAAGGTTAAGAGCATTTAGTTAAGAGAATGTTCCAAGAGCACAGATAGTGTATTCCAGAGTGAGGGGATCAAGTGGTATTGTAGTCTGCAGCTTTTGCATGCACCGTAAGGCAAAAACTTAAAAAAGACAACACACAGATAATATGGATAAATGAAGTAGAAAAAGTTTCACCTTTAAATAGGAAATGAGAGGTAAAAGGCATTTGATTAACTTTTCAGAAAGAAATTCTGGAGGGATCAATTTAAAAACAAGAATGAGTTACTCAGTGGGAAAGGAGAGAACAGACTGGAGAGGACAGGGATGGAAGCAAAGCTTCCTGGATATAGCTTGCTATATATCTATCCTTGAAATACATACATGTTTGACATGTTTTTGAAAAATAAATAAGAGAAAGGTAACCTTTGTAAATTAAGAACAAGATAAACCAAGAACCTAGCTCTGTATCAAGTGGGGACATAAAATTACAAAGAAAATAAAGGCTTCAAATGACTGCATAATACAGTGTATGGACACCCCTCGTCTAATAGATCCTAAGGATACAGGGATCTGCAGAGACATCACAACATCTGGCTCTTGGCAGGCAAACCCGCTCGTTCTGATTGTCCTGTGTACATCGTGGTCTGATGCAAACGCACAGTCAGGCATCACTTAATGACGCTTTGGTCAATGGTGGACTGCATATGCCATGGTGGTCCCGTGTGGGTGTTGGGAACTGTACCACACAGTCTAGATGTGTAGTAGGGCAAACCCTCTAGGTGTGTGAGTCCTCTATGATGTTTGCACAATGACAAAGTCACCCAGCAATGGATTTCTTGGGACACACCCCAACGTGAGGCAGTACGTGACTGGATGTCAGTGTTATAACTTTTGATATAAGAGAAAAGAAACACGAGTACAAACTTTAAGAAATAAAATAAATAACCTCTGGGTGTGGACAGTGGCCTAGAGAAGCACTAGGGGGTGGCTGGATCAGCCATATGGGGATGTGGTGGGTACCAGCAGTGCCCGCCACCCATCCAGTCAACAGGCAGAGGAGGCCGGCTCTTTAGCCTTGAATCAGTATGAACATCAGGTCTGTTTCTCCGGCCTCATCCGTGGCAGACCTGGTGATGGTGATGCTGCTGGCCAAGGTGCTGGGGAGGCCTGCGTCGGTGCTCTTGCCTGGCGGACTCTGGATCGGGTGGCCTGTGGCAGAGCAGGTGGGAAGCAGCCTGCTGATTCCTCTGTCTCTTTCTTCCCCAGCACAAGCGCTGCATCCCGGCCTCTCTGGATGCCTACTACTCAGCCCAGGACCCCAACTCCAGAAGCCGCTTCTACACAGTCATCAGCCACTACAGTGTGGCCAAGCAGAGCACTGCTCGGGCCATCGGGCCCTGGCTGTCGGCAGCTGCTGTCATCCATGAGCCCAAGCCGCCCAAGACCCAGGGCCATTAGAGGCCTACCCCGGCTGGAGTGAGGGGTGGAGGAGAGGGGGGCCCCCTGTTGGCTAAGTTACAAGACAACACTGTACTCCTG